AGAGGTCTAGACAATAGATTTATTTCCCTTTGAACTAATTAACTTCACTCTATTCCATGAGCACTGCAAATCCCATTAATCTCGAGACTGCAATGAAGACGAGCCGAAGAGCTAATGATCACTTACTCATTCATATTTTATTGAGCATCTATTTCATGTCAAGCCAAAGCTTCAGCTTGAGTTAGAAAGATGAGAGGGTCCAGTGTTGGTTCTGGAAGGAGTTCACTGTCTAGCAGTGGGAGAGCGTGTCCTCACAGAAAGACTGGAGGGCAGAGTATTCATTCTAGAGACCGGCAGATGTCAAGAACATTAGTGAGCCCTCGGTCAGGTGTTCTGCTTCAGGTTACAGCGCCAGAAAATAGGAAACACTATTGTCACACATTAAGGAAGGAAGCAGACAAGGAGAGGCCAGGAAGTTGAGTCATGGGTCATGAGGTTTGTGACTGAGAAGGAGCATTCCATCTGTTGAATCTGTCTACTTCCCTTCTTGGCCTACTCATTGGTTTTATGAACAGGCCAGGGCGTAACTTGCTGTGTCTCTTCAAAGAGAGAAGGGTGGTGGTCAGATTCTAGGGGGTAGGTAGCTGCCATAACAAACATGATAGCCAGGGTGGCTGAAGAAGCAGGGGATTGTTTGTTGCTGCTGTTGTGGAGGGAGGGAGTCAGGATGAGGTGTGGCTGGGTTCCAGAGAGGAGCTCTTATGGTTGACTATCTTCTTATACTGTCCTCGCTTGACAGAGAGGGACCAGCTATATTTTCCTCATTCTATAAAGCCACTGACTCCATTAGAAGACCCCAACCTTATGATCACATCCCAAACCATTTCCTTTTCAAAGGCCCCTTATCTTCCAATGATCTCTCCCTGGGTCTGGGCTTAGACCTTAGACCTTCTTCAGCACATGGGTAAGGGACAGGAAAGACAGAGACGTGCAGTCCATCACAAGGAGGGAGGCTGTTGACTAGAGAGAGCTTTGCAAAGTCCTTGAGGCTTGATGAAAACACCGCCCCTCCTTTGAGCCGAAGAGTAAGTCCAGGGCACTCACGTGGTTTCTTGGATTGGACATCACAGGACTTTGTACACACTGTCTCATTCTTCCCTGCCCTGGATGACAGCTCTCTGGATGCTGCTGCTACCAAGCTGTACTGTAGTATCCCAGACGCTCCTTGACTTACAAGGAGCTGTACTAATGAGGCCAACGTATGTTGAAAGTCTTTTAAATATACTAGCCTGCTCACCATCGTAGTTCAGAAATGTGGCCAGCTGTAGTTACTGGTTTATTTCTCTCTGTAACAACAGACCAGATTGGGAACTGTAGCTCGCTGGATCAGGCTTCATACAATCACTAGAGATGCTCCATGGCACTAGCCTAGGGAAGGATCAGTTCAGATTCTGGTATGTATCAATGGCAGAGGATTTAGCACCTGGTTAAATTAGGAAAATTTCAAGTGAGAACATTGTAAGTTGAGGACCAGACATTCCCATGATTGTAGCTACTGCTGTTACTGTCTCCAGCACTGCAAATCCCTCTGTCCCAGCATTGGAGAAGGCTCCATTTCCACCCTCAGTCTCCTTAGGAGGCATTAGTGGGATAATAGGAATGAATGCATTCACACCTGAATACTCTCTACCTTTCTGAAAGAAACACAGTCTTCCCAGAGCCAGAATGAAGGGGGAGTCCTGCCCCTCCTGCCCAGCGTGCTCATTCTTTGGCACTTCGGCTAGCTTCACAGCAGGGCAGTAAATAATTTCACCAGGTTTCTCGCTGCATCTTTGGTCCTGGGATAGTCCACTGATAGTGAAGAGTGGCGGCTTAAGCTGGGTCAGTCCACAGATATGGACGCGTTGTACAGACTGTCCTCCCGCCTTGGGGCAGACGCTCCTGTATTTTTAGTCCCGTTTGTCCCTGCCAAGACAAGCTGTTCAAGGACAGGATTACTAGCCAACAGGACAAGCATCTTGCCTCAGGCTGCGGCAACACATCTTTGAGTACTTGTTTGTGCTGGAGGGAGGTGGAGCTATGGGATTTGTTTTGACTTTGGTGACAGCATTTAAGCTCCAGAAGTTGTGGAGAACAGGTTTCTCTGGACTAGCCCTGTGTCTCTCTGAGACAATAAGACAAGGTTTGAAGAGCGTGTACCGGGTATCTGTGAACTACAGATAAAATATTTCTAACTGAATAGGTGTGTGCAACGAAACACTACAGAGCTGAGATTGTGGTCATTTGGATTGACTTCTCCCTCCGTCCTTTGGACGAAAGAAGTTTCATTATCTAAATTATAAAATGTCAAGAAGATACTTGTAACTTGACAGGATTAACTGTGTGTGTGTGTGTGTGTGTATGTGTAAAAGATAGCGAGGACATTCATTTTTCTTGCTGGTTTCTCATTACCAGTACTACAGTAATATCACTGTCTAATTCATTGCTCCTCCCATGGTTCAGCTGTAGGGCAGCCCCTCGTGAACCCCCACTTGGAGTGCTACAGTAACTTGTTCTGTCATTTTTTCCCTATTAGTTCAAAGATGCTTGTCTTTCAGTACCAATTTCTTTGATAATTAATGAATGATTTTTGGGGACTCTCTGGCCCTGGAAAGATATAGGTCCAAGTCTTTGGAATGTCATAAACGTTTTACCACCCTTCCTGGTCCCTCATTTTCTTATTCTACCAGAACAGCACCTGTGCGAGATGATCCCTCCTACAACTCCTTTGGATTTCTCCTCTCCTCCTGACCCCCAAATGATACTTCCTGAAACAACAAGGCAAACATTAAGGCCAAACCCGGTGTGTTTTCTCTTGCTGTTGCCCAGCTTTGAAATGACACCGTGGTATACAGTAAAGCCTGCCTCCATGGAAGCACTTATCACTGTGTTACATGAGTCTGCTCCCCAGGTTTCATGAACTTGTGAATGAAAGGATTGGGTCTTACTTTGTTGTAGACAGCCTTCAGCATGCAATTGCTAAATCAGGTGGTTTCTGGTTATCAGCAACCTCGGGGCCATTCTTGGGGGTTTCTGATGGGTGTGAATGCTTGGAATGGAATTTACTCTAAAACAACTCACAATCAAAGCTTGGGGCTGATTTTGCCAACCATCATTTACGTTAATGAGGTGTTAGTGCCTTTTTATTGTATTCATAGTGGAAAATAAGTACCTGGAATTTTGATTTTCTCTTTACATAGGAATTCAGAATTTATGCTAATTGTGCTGTTATATTCCCGGCTGTGGTAACTTACATATCTGCACAGATACACCCATAAGTTCATGCGCACTCACAAGCACACACACCCAGATACTCATGCACACACACAGACACACATGTATATACTCCCACATCAACACATACTACTATGCAGAATCAATTGTCCATGTTTAGTGATCTTCACTGCCCTGTTCTTTGGGTTAATTTTTATGACTCCTTCCTAACAAATTCTTAATAAATATTTTCTTATGATTCCTACTTATGACAGTTTGGAATCTGTCTCTAGTTCTACAAGGTGTGTGTAACTTGGGGTTTGTTGAGATTTGAGGGTGCAGTGGCTGATGCTCTTTCTGGTATGTGTTATGAACAGCAGGGAGCCATTATGAGTAGCCTACAGCCTTGTTCACAAACTAGACATTCTCTAATGAGGTGGTGACTCCTTTGCTCTCTGAATCATAGCAGAGTGCTCTCCCAATGAAAGCTAAAGATGCCACACAAAAGGGAATATATAGATACGAATAGGAACATTAGAGAGAGCATGATTAGGTTCAATCAGGTCTGATGGGTTTTAATGCAGATCTTCTAGAGTGAAGGGGAGAATTGTGTTTCTTGACTACTGAACATTTTGCCATCCTGACTCCAGTTACAGCAGGCCTGAAAGCTATGGCCAAGTGGTCAGCATTGAACAGGCAGAGGAAAGCTAACATTTTCACCCCTGTAATCAGAGCTTAGCCACTCCCAACCAACAGCAGCCTTTCCTCCCACCAAACTGTGATGGCCTCTCTTTTCAGCTTTCTGTTATCCTGCCCTTTGTTTCTTCAGATTGCACTTGATTGACATTCTTATTCCTTGCAGGCAGGGTTGAGAAACATGCATTTTACTTCCCAATAAAGATTCTATGTTTTCCTTAAGAAAATCGTAATTTGACTAATATGTCTCCCTGAGATCACCCCCATTTGCACTGAAGAGAACTCGCTTTAGCATTTTTGCCTTAGGGAAATGATGGATTTGTTTAATAGATTGGTAATTAGCCAGCTCAGAAATGATCATTAGGATGCCTTTTCATTTGATTACTGTAAATCACCAGACCCACGGGCCATTAATCACTGGCTGCATGAGGTACCTCCGCCCTGCCTGTCCTTGAGGAAAAGACTCCTACACAACTTCACATGGACACTTTCTCCCTGTAATACAAATGTTTACTAAGAGCCACTTCCATGCATGTCTGATATGGCGTTTCTTTTTTTTCTGATACAATTTTTCTTAATGGTGTAACTTTTATTATCATAAGAATAGTTTCCATGAGAGCCGCAGTCTAAATAGAAGTCAGGTTTTGGTTTGTTTTGTGTTTTTGGTTAGAGTTACCAGAGGCTCATCATTGTACAAATACCACCTTAGTGAGGCGAGGCAGTGTTTATGCGTCACAGGGTTGTGTGCAGCCCTTTTGTGTGGCCCTTGGATGGCTGGTGTGAATAGCTGATCTGTGATCACATGGGGCAGAGCCTTAAGTATTCCTACTTTCTAAATGGAAAACGAGGCCAGAGAAATGAGTTCCTGTGGCACATTTAGAGTTTGCGTCGTACAAATGCTGAACAAGAAGCATTACTGACGTGTGTCAAGAGGGGCAAGGCAGAGCCTGGTTTCCTGCTGAAGATTCCCAGTCAAGGTCACCCTGGTCCCCTGGGTGAGACTCTGCACAGCCGCGTCAGTTTAATATTAGACTAGTGAAGAACAAACTCCCCTGCGGGACAGCCTGCTCCACTGAGGGCTAACCTTGTCTTTCTTTGTTTTTGGTTTCCAGTTTACCGCGGCTTCTGGGCAGTCCTGCTGCTTCTGGGGGTAGTGGCCGCCTTGACCGCAAGCTTTCTCATCATCTGTGCGGCCCCCTTTGCCAGTCACTTTCTCTATAAAGCTGGAGGAGGCTCCTACATTGCCGCAGGTAGGTGCAGCACCCAAAGCCTGAGTTGTAGCCACGTGCCCTGTATTCCCACCGTCAGTTATAGACATAGGTCCAGAGTTCAGACTTTTATGAATGGTAATACAGTGATGTTCAGATACCATAATTCTTCACTATGTCTCAGCCACTTTCTGCAGCCTTCCCATTTCCATGAGCTGGCAGCCTTTGCCTACTGAATCCCTGGTAGACAAATGTAAGCACCAAAGCTAATGAATTGCCCTGCTGTAAGGGATATAGTCTACAGTTTTTCGTCTGTAACGCATCTTCTATGTCCATCCCATAGCATACAAATGGAAGGCTGATATTGACAATGGCAAATTTCTAGAGAGTAGGTGGTGTCTTAGTTAAGTTTCTCGTTGCTGTGACGAAACACCATGACTAGAAGCAACTTGGGAAGGAAAGAAAATTATTTCACTTACACTTTCACATGGAGATCCATTATTAAAGGAGGTCAGGGCAGGAAGTCAAGGTAGGAACTGAAGTAGAGACCATGGACGAGAGCTGCTGACTGCCTTGCTCCTGTTTGCTCAGCCTGTTTGCTTGTAACACCCAGGACCACCAGAGGAGTTATCCCCATTCACGCTGGGCAGGGCCCTCCTCCCTACCAAGAACTAGTTAAGAAAATGCCTTACAGACTCACTTATAGGCCCATCTTATGGAGGAATCTTATCGATTCTGGTTTCCTTTTCTCAGGTAACTAGCTGATGTCAAGCTAACAAAAGCCAAAACCCAAAATAAACAAAACAGCCACCACAAACACAATGGGACAGACAGACTTGAGCGTGACTTATCAAACTCACCATGCTGTGCTCTCCTGTGGCATCCCGAGAATGCAGTGTTTCTAGGTGAGACCATAGTGAAGGTTACAGGGAAAGTACTGATGGACACTTTGCTGTCTTTAGGACCATTGCATGACAGCACGTGGTGCTGGCTTTTCATTCAATCAGTGACACAGTGCTTGGCGCTTCCTAATCAAGATAATGATCGCATATGGCTCCTCTCCTGAGGCAGCATCACTCCGAGGAGCAGCCTGTTTAACTGGTTCTGTTCTGATGCCTTCCTTGAGTTGGATGCACCCGCTAGAGCTCATGCCCATTTAGTCTTTCCCCATCTTTACGAAGGTATAACTCACATACCACTCATTATACCATTTTAATTGTGCAATTCGGTGGAATTTTTAGTACAATCATGGACTTGCACAAACATGAAAATCATGTGATTTCAGAATATTTTAATCATATTGCAAAGGAACCCCATTGTCCCTCTTTCTCCCCTCTACAGGAAATTACTAACCTCCTACCTGTTTCTATGTATTTGCCTATTTTGGGTGTTTTATGTAAAGGACATCACATGCTTTTTGGAGACTTTAAAAACAAAATACCATCTTCCTTCAAGCTGGTAACATGCCTATCCTGGAAGCTACTGAAGTAGGTGTTTACGGCAATAGATCCATAATAGATCTGAAGAAGTTTCAGTCTATGGACCGAGGCTTCCAGATTCCCATCCTTTCTAAGGCTGGTCTGACCATCGCCTCCTTGAGTCTCTCCTGATTGCTGTGCTCCACTGTTGCCCTCTGCCAGGCACTTAGGAACAGCTGCAGCTTGTTCCTCATGCACAGTGACCAGTTTTCCAATGCCACAAACAGGACCGAACACTTTTATTTATTTGGGCAGATGAATCTTAGGGAAGGGCACAGACGAATTCCAAATGGCAGTTCTGCGGTGCGGGCACATACAAAGGGTCTTTGTCATCAGCAGAAGCCCCTGGGGGGGCATTTGTGCCTGGCAGAGGGACACTGAAGTTGCAGCTGTCAGTGGGAGCAAAACCCATGGTTGGTCCATGGTATGCTCTACATTCTGCCAAGTCAGGGCGGGGCTCAGAGAGCAGGTGGAGCCTCACCCTGGGCAGATCCTCTCCTGGGCAGGCCAGGAGATGTGTTTCCCGGGGAGGTGCGGCTCCAAACAAACTCTGTAGTACCGGCCAGGTTGCTGTAGCCCCGAGTCTATGCCTCAGTGATGCACATACCTGAGAACCCCTTAGAAAACTGATGGTCTCTGATGAAGAGAAGATGAGTGTCTTCCTCTCTCTGCACATCAACATGGAGGGAAACAGGAGAAATTAGAATGAGCAGGCATGGAGATCTAAACATTTAGTTACATGGAGAACATTACAGAGAGGAGCACTCCTAACCCCAGCACGAGCATCCTGTAACCAGAGCAGCTATTGCTATGCATGAACAAGACATGGAAAGACAAGACCTGGACAGCCTGTAGCAAAGGCAGGAGGTATAAGCCATCATAACTAGAAGGCGGGAACTGAAGATGTGGCTCAGCTGGTTAACAGCACTAGCTGCTGTTCCCGACGACCTGGGTTGGATTCCCAGCACCCATATGGCTGTTCACAATCATCTGTAACACAGACATACATGCAAGAAAAATATCATCTGTACAAAATAAAAACAAATACATTTAAAGTTAAAACCACAAGCTGTTTCACCAGCTACTTAGAATAAGCGGGCTCTCTTGCCATTGTACAGTAACCTCCCTTGTCCTGAGTAGCGCCTTGGCTGACTGGCTGAGTTTTCATGCTTGTGGTAGAAGCAGACAAAGTTGGTAGAGTAGCAAGAAGCTAAGTTCTGCTTAAACTCCTGCTGGCCTCTTGGGTTGTCACCATCTTGTTAATCAAAGGATGATTGGGCGATTTGAACGGATGGAAGCAAGAGATGCGCCTGCTATGAGAATCTAGCTTCTGTACGCAGATTTAGGCAGAGCTTACTTTGTGTACTAATTGCCTATTCTGCCCCCATTCTGAACTCATAGTGCACTTTTGCTCCAGGACAGCTATTTCCTGGGCTAGTATTGCTCACCAGGGGCATGCGCAGAGTGAACTGGCATGAAATATGTAAATTTTCCACCACGTGGGACAAATAGCCGGAATCCCAGTCTTCAGCGGCTTGCTGTGGCCCCTCCTGCTCTGGAAGAATTGCCGTGAGAAGTGTTGGGATGTGACTCATGCTAGAAATGGAGAGTCAGCAAGGCTGGCTTGAAAGACAGCAGGGTTCTGGCCTTTTTTCCTCCCGCAGATCAAGGTTATGGCGAGAGCTTCCCAAGCTCTCTCTGAGATCAGATTTATCTCTGCTTGTGACAGGAGCCTTCACAGCAACCTCACCCCAGAGACATTCTCCTGGGTGCGTGGAGAAACAGCCAGCAGAAGCCGGTGTTTATCTCAGAGGCTCTTTTCCCCTCTGGCTGAGAATGAACATAAGATTCACACAGGGTATGCTGTGCACACCTTGTTCCGGCCATACTCTTCCCTATACAGAACAGGAGTGAAGTGTGTGGAGAGGCCCCCATCAGAGCAGGAGGTGACAGAGACCCAGAGCAGGAAGGGATTAAGAAGGAACGGCTGACAGGCAGGCAAGGGTCATAGTTTCCAGCTGCAACTGCTGCCCAAGTGCCCATCTTATGAAAGTTCCTGGCTCTGAGAAGTGCATATGCCTGACAAGCACAGGGGACTCTGTGTGAGCAGAACAGTTGGGAACAAAGACGTGGCTATGGTGGCTTTGCTAAAGTCACTTTCAGACTGTCTTTCCTACCAGCTAGAAGCTGCACTTTCCACAGGGCAGTGGAGTGTTTCTACAGCCCGGGCTCCATTTTCCCTCCAAATGCTGCTGTGATGGGGGCAGGTGTGGAAAGTGCACTTGGGAGAAACTGTGTGTACTGACATGTATCTGCTGTGCAGCCCTGGAGCAGAAGTGACCCTCTAGTTGGTCATCCGCAGAGCAACAGTTTGGATGTTCCTAGAGCAGAGCTCCGAGGAGACCATGAAGACCTTGCCACCTTTGCGCTCCGTGGAGAGATGTGTTTATGGTGCCTTCGGTTCCGTTATGTGGGCCCGGGGCCGAGCTGTGCTTTCTGAGGACGATACTATTGCCATGCAGGGAAGCTTTCTTTCAAATTGCCATGTCTGCTATCCTGGGTCTGACCTTTTGCACAAATGCTGTGTGCTAGCTAAAGTCAGTCATTCTCGCCCAATCCTATCTGTGGAAATCTGCGAAGATTTTTATTTCAAAAATATTTTTAAATGTTACAACCATGTTTCAGATTCTTCCGTGAGAAGAGGTGAAATACAGGTGGTACTTCAGGAGGCTGCACCTTTGCCTAACACAGAGCTCATCTGTGTCCACACTGGGGACAGCTGAGGTCATGGCTTCGTTTCTGCCCCGGCACATCTAGCCCTTAAGAGGCCTGTGCAATATTAAGTTGGGAGGATCCTTTATGGAAAACCTTGAACTTCATGTGGAAATAATGCCTCCCATAGCTTCAGAACCCCCTGAAAAGCGGCACTGTTCTGAGAACTACAGCTCAGGCACCCCCACTTGTTTCAAGCCGCATACTATGCGTTCTATAGTGAATCACGTATCTCAGGGGGCTGCAGATGTGTGAAATAGCAAGGCTTTTGCTGGTCTTTAACTAATGTGTCGTGTCTAGGATCAGGCTTGTTTCCACATGCCTTCTTTCCAGGCCGGGGGTATCCCTCGCATCTGCCTACTCTGGACGGTCAGAGATCTCATTTCTCCGCAGATACCCTGTATCGTTCCACGTTTCCCCTCCACAGTCCCTTTGCTGAGAAACAACATCAGTTAATGGTTGGGGAATATCGTGTTTGTTTCCTCACTAACTTTTGAACTTCTTGCACTTTTTCCTCTTGTGAAGTTCTCCTGGAAGATGGGGTGAGGTAGGGAGAAGCACATTTTTGTGTAGACCTGCTGGGACACCCATATCGGCCTGTGCTAGGAGCCTGCACTGCAGCGAATTTCCCTTCCTTTACTGAGAGGGCTGTTGGGGGAGGGGGGGAGGTTCAACAAGCTGGAAATGTGAGCAGGAAAACATCCTTCAGACGGTTGAGTCCTAGTCTGCAGTGGTTTATGTTTTCCAAAATCCAGGGGGAGGCTTTGGGGAGACTGGTGCCATCTGCTGGAC